GGTGGTGACAGGTGCCTTGGTGGTAGTCACAGGTGCCTTGGTGGTGGTGCAAGGCGCCTTGGAAGTAGTCACAGGAGCCTTGGTGGTTGTGCATGGCGCCTTGGTGGTTGTGGCAGGCGCTTTAGTGGTTGTGCAAGGCGCCTTGGTGGTTGTGACAGGCGCTTTAGTGGTGGTGCAAGGCGCCTTGGTGGTTGTGAGAGGCGCCTTGGTGGTGGTGTAAGGAATTGCTGTGGTAGTCACAGGCGCCTTGGTAGTAGTCACAGGCGCCTTGGTGGTGGTGCAAGGCGCCTTGGTGGTGGTGTAAGGAATTGCTGTGGTGGTGACAGGAGCCTTGGTGGTCGTCACAGGCGCCTTGGTGGTGGTGACAGGCGCCTTGGTGGTGGTGACAGGTGCCTTGGTGGTAGTCACAGGTGCCTTGGTGGTGGTGCAAGGCGCCTTGGAAGTAGTCACAGGAGCCTTGGTGGTTGTGCATGGCGCCTTGGTGGTTGTGGCAGGCGCTTTAGTGGTTGTGCAAGGCGCCTTGGTGGTTGTGACAGGCGCTTTAGTGGTGGTGCAAGGCGCCTTGGTGGTTGTGAGAGGCGCCTTGGTGGTGGTGTAAGGAATTGCTGTGGTAGTCACAGGCGCCTTGGTAGTAGTCACAGGCGCCTTGGTGGTGGTGCAAGGCGCCTTGGTGGTGGTGTAAGGAATTGCTGTGGTGGTGACAGGAGCCTTGGTGGTCGTCACAGGCGCCTTGGTGGTGGTGACAGGCGCCTTGGTGGTGGTGACAGGTGCCTTGGTGGTAGTCACAGGTGCCTTGGTGGTGGTGCAAGGCGCCTTGGAAGTAGTCACAGGAGCCTTGGTGGTTGTGCATGGCGCCTTGGTGGTTGTGGCAGGCGCTTTAGTGGTTGTGCAAGGCGCCTTGGTGGTTGTGACAGGCGCTTTAGTGGTGGTGCAAGGCGCCTTGGTGGTTGTGAGAGGCGCCTTGGTGGTCGTTACAGGCGCCTTGGTGGTAGTACACGGAGCTGCAGTGGTAGTGCACGGAGCTGCAGTGGTCGTGTAAGACGGCTGTGCAACGCCAGTGGCTTCGATCACGGAGGCGGCGATAAGTGCAACGATGAGTGCGAGCTTCATGCTTGTATCTGTAAAGATAGGGACTTTCGGAAACGAAGAACGTTTGGGAATGACTTGAGTATCAACACGTCCTCCTCAATCAAACCAGAGATCCAGTCCAAAGTGGACATTTGAGCGCTGACGGTTGTTTGCCCAAAGGGTGACAGTATTTCATTCCAATTTCATACAATTCTCAAGTGTTTATTGAATTTTGTGATTTGCGACATGTTGCTAGAGGTGCGGTACAACGTACCTACGTTAAATAGGTTTAACCTCATCAAACAAAATTTGTATGGCCAAGCGACCCAGCGCAAAGCAGATTCTTTCCGCATTGTACATGCTACGACGGTATGCTACGTCGGCCCCAATAATGGAGAAATATGAGATCACCGGGGCCAATGTTTTGGCAAACAGACAATGCTTACGTTCAAGGGAAGGGAGCTGGTTCAATATGCAATGTCAACATCAAATGAAAAAACGTACTAGGTAATATAAAAAAAACAACGCAGTTCGGCTCGCTTTTACGTGACCGTCTCCATCTGCCCTCACCTTGGAATGAGGTACTGTAGAGGTTGGGTCGTCGCTGGAACTGCGATCATGTGACACAGTTGCACTGAAACGTTCACATTGCACCACCAAATACAGTATTATGAGGGTCTATGTGGCATACACGTCTAGTCCTTCATTATGACTTCCAAGTAAATGGTCAACAGCCTTGATATATACTACGTACTCGACACTTGGCCTAGCCACGAAAATACTCGCAGCATCGAAAAATGTGCTGGTACATGATACCTTTTCTCGTCCGCAAAATCGTGACAGTGCAATTCAAATCGATACTTGGACTTTCATGTAAGTATTGTAGATTACGCTGTGTGGATAAACAACGGAACAACGATGCCTTGAATTCAGTAAGTAATCACAGCTTTTAAAACCGAAACGCGGATTCAAAGCACTACCGTGAAAATATGATGAGATCTCCTCGATCACCATTGCACACCAACCACACAATGGAGTCGCGGGTCTAATTTTGGTGTTGTGGACGTTAGTTTCTTCAATGAAACGTACAATCAGCAAAAAAAGAGCTAATCGAAGTTGCTCACAATACTATACTGTACATTAAACAAACAATCAACGATGCTGATTGGACATAAAAGCTGACGCCGTCGTTGTGTGACGACGGCGTAACGATGCAGAAAGTTAGAGTTAGTAATGCAAGTTATCATAGAGTCACTGATTTTACCGTAAGTGCGAGACCAAGGTCTTAGAGACGAAGGCCCTGGACTGTAGCTAAAGTCACTGCAGAGTTGACCGCAGGAGCACCGTTCCAAGGAAATGGAATGCGTAGACTTGGTAGATTATAGTTCCACAACGACCACACGACCCCATCAAATGATGGTGGAAATCTCTGCATCGCTAATCCTTGTAACAAATAAGCATATAGGTACGTAGTACACGCACGGTTGCACTCAGAACCAAGGAACTCGCATTCGGATGGAACGAATGCGAGTTCCTTACGCAGGACCGGTAGCCTGACTGTAACCGTGTACGAATAATCTCAAGGCATACTACTGCGTAGTACTACCGTATTCATAGTGCAGTGTGCTGTTTGCTATGAATAATTCCCTGAGAGAAGCAGTTCCATTGTTGCTTACGTACGGGTAATGATTCCCCATGGAAAGAACCAGTACAGTAACCTTGTAACCTCGGAACCCCCGGACCCGTTGTGTTGCTATTTCCGGGGTCAATCGCATCTCCAGTGATGAGCTCCATCGCGGGTCCCTATCCCAACTCTATATCTCAAAAAACTTCGGTTGTACCGTTACTTTATGTTACAGTACGGATAATTTGGGCTTATCCGGGCGATTTTGTCCCCAAATTATGGGGATGTCCCCAAAATGTTCAGTTATTGGGATGTCCGAGCGAAATGGGGACAAAAACACCCGGATACATCTCCAAATTATCCGTAACTTCGATGATACCACTATTGTAACAGGTTTTGGGGATAGGGACATCGATATAGGGACCCCCGTTGGAGATAAGACCATTGAAATGCACTTTACCCCTAACGTTAGCTGGAATGTGATGTTTTGGTTTTCACTAACTTTGACTATGGCATAAAAAGAACAAGTGAAAGCATTGCGTAAGCTTCAGTGGGACTGCTGCAATATCAGGGAATTACTCGATCTATGACGACGCATCATGTTTCAAACAATCTGGTGGTACGGAAATTGAGATTTATCTCTAGAATCCCTACTCGAATAATCTCACCATTGTACCCACCGTCTTAACCTCCCTCATATTCACTCCGTTCGCTGCTTGGTTGAAATTGCAATGCCTTCCACCAAAACCACCACCTAACTTTTCAATCGTCGATCCCAGCAACTGCGGCAGCAGCAGCTTACACCACTGATACGTCTGTCGAGGGCATACATGTACGTACTGTACAGTGAGATCTCAGCCTTACGTGCGGATACTACATATATAACCGTGTTGAGCCAGGTCATGGGAAGGCTTTCCTATGCAAAATGCCCTTCTCAACAACACAAGTCTGAAATGTCCAACTGAACCCCTAACGTTATCCAACATTTGTACTAACAGTAAGCCCGGTGTACTTGTCATACTTTGAAGTACATTGTACAGTGTAACTGTTGCCATACTTTTGTACTACGTAGTACTGTAGTAGGACACTACTGAGCATACTATACCATTGATCTACACACACATTCTACGCCGACTTGGCGTCTAGCGTGGCTGCTTGCACGTCGATTTTGTTCTGAGATTGGTTGGCGATATAGCCCAAGCCGTAGTTGGCCTGGAACGTCGGCAGCCAGTGGGTACGGAACCACGCATGGGCGTCCAGCCATCCCGTCGAGAACGGCACGATGGGCTCAAAGTTGAGGTCCTTGGTGGCGGCATCGATCTTGAACCACCGGTGCATCATAAGCACGCGGACTGTGAACTTGTTGAGCTTGAGCTTGCGTCCCACGAGCCACCCGACCGCCTCGCTCACGTACGCGGCGGGCCAGAGCAGCCACGACGGCAGCATGGCCTTCTCCCACAGCGACGGGAACCCCATCGCGACCACCGCCTCATCCACCGTCTTCCAGAAGTACGAATACCCTTCTGGAAACGTGTGGGTGTGGCCATCCGTGGCCACGTAAAACTTGCCGAGCGCGGGGCTGCCAGGGTACAAGGCGCGCTCGCCGATGATGAGCGCGTGCGCGTAGTTGTCGACGTGGGTAAAGCACACTTTGTTGTAGCCGTAGCCAGTGTGTTTGGATGAGAACACGCGAAGGGATCCGTTGCCGGCGGCTTCGAGGATGTTGGGGGTGAAGAGGTTGTCTCGTGGGCCGTACACCTGGTGCGGCGCGATGGACACGGTCAGAAGCGTCGGCGAGTTCGCGGCTGTGATCGCCATCTCAGCCATGGCTTTGGTTTCTGCGTACTCTTGCATGTACGAGGTCATGGGAATGGAAGGCAACTCGGCCTCGGTCAACCCGTCGATGTCCGACCCGTCAAAGCGTGTGGACGGAGACGAGGACATGACAAGCTTGGATACGTTGTGGAACTTGCATGCGTCGATCACGTTGAGCGTGCCGTGGTAGTTGACGCGCAGGTACAGTTCGCGTGGATGGAACGGACCCACGGCGGCCGCGAGGTGGAACACGCAGTCGGCGCCCTGGACGGCGGCAAACACGGCGTCCTTATCAGCGATATCGCCGACGACGTACTTGATCGCGGGGTGGTCCCAGTGCCCGTCGGCAGTCTTGGGGACTATGTCGAACGACACGACCTTCTCCGCGCCGCGCTCGACGAGCATCTCCACGACGCGCTGTCCGACAAAACCCGTGCCGCCTGTGACGACGCACACCTTCGGGACGGGTGGAAACGAGCCTGTCTCAGCCACTTGGCGTTGCAGCGGCGACAGGAAGGGCGAAGGACCGACGACCATGAGGACGGACGACGTGGGAAACTGCAGATGAGCGTGGTGGAGCTACAGTACCGGTAGCTGGCTCGATGTGTAAACAACACGATTATTGCTGTTTCGTGTGACAAGCCAACGTGTTTTGGCAATAATCGGTCGATATTTCATCAATTTCTTCATTAGTACTACTAATAATAATACTAACTCAAGGATGTGAACTTGCTGGGTCATTCAAAAATGAATTCGACAATAGTATTAATATATACTTAATAATACTAACGTTAGGACCAAATGCAACGATGGTGGACGATGCCACGTCATGAGGGCTGTCGCTGGCTTACTTTCACCACTTCATCGACCTCCACGGCGGCGGAGATGTGTTCGAAGGCCTGTCCACCAGCGATGTCTGCCTTCATTGTGTCGTGGTATACGCATGGGCGTCCAAGCGGACCACGTCCAAAGGTCCAGCGATGGATACGAGAAACCTGCCGAGTATCCACTCGGCATCAGCCATGCGTGCGTGGTCGTACAAGTTTGTGGATGTCTTCGACGCCATGGACAACTTGCGCGACGAACAGCAGCTCGGTCACGACAACACACATCGTTTTGGTTTTGCATGCTTGCCAACTACCAGCACACGATTGGCAATCCGTCCGAGACGGTGCCGCGCTGGCTAGCGGACTCGCAAGGCGGTGGCGGACACGGGCAGGATAGTGATGAAGGTGCTGGTTCCGTGGCGGGACTCAGTGACCCTCAAGCGCACGTGGTGCATGTACGAAGTGTACTTGTCGATAAATTGTGTTGAACGCTCGCTTTGAAGTGGCCATGCTTCAACCCCAAAAAGCCACGTTTATAGACGCCAAGTGACCAGCAAACACTCGATAGACGCGACCGCGCCCACGTTTTCGACCTCATCGAGAAGCAAGTCGGGTTTGCCGACCTGGACAGCATTGGGGTCTATGACACGATGCAGTCAGATTTCCATGGCGATGCAACCTCCCAAGTGGTTTCCCTGGTTGTGCTCCTAGGCCAGCGCAAAGATCACGCTCGGATCGTTGAATCAAGCCAAAGTGCTGCTGGACAGAGCAGCCGGCACCTCCCGCCGACGCTGTCGGAAGGCCACGGTCACCTAGACCAAGTGCGCACACTCAAGCGCTTACCTCACGAGACTAACATGGAAGCCTCTGTTTGACGACGATCTCTCTATGGTATGGCAGCTTAACACAGCCAACCACCCCACCACCCTGGACGGGATGAAGATCTTTGGTCAGTGCTTTGTCATAGATGTGGTACTGCCGCAGCCACATCTATGACAAAGGACATGTCCTTGTTGCGTGAATGTTGGGGTGCAAAGCTCGTGGCTCCTCGACCAGTGCTTAAATGAAGTCGAAGAAATCCCTGTACATTCATGTGGTTTTTGCATATACTCTGATGCCGCTCATGAACTCGGCTTCCTCCGCGACGGCGGCAGGTCTCACAGTCCCGGTACAGTTAACGTTACCGGTACAGTAAGTAGCACACTACTCAACACAATTCCTACGAGTAACTCTCCATGTTATCTTTCTCCCTTGTCTGCATACTGGTACATGTACTGCATTTCTTGAGGGTGCGGGAAATGACCAAAACAGCGAACCTCAAATGAAGTGGTAGCATACCAAGCACCTCGATCGCACTAGCACTTATAGCTACTAGCTCGTATAGCCATACTAGGGGCTGAGGGCTTTCGAGGAGACGCGACATTCAGGAACGGCTTGTCTACGAGCGGGGTAATGAATGTAGTAGATATTGCACAACTTAGTTGCAGGCTATCGTTCAAAGCTAGAAATATGGCGATTGCAACATTGTAGCATGAGTAGTGGCATGGGTTTGCTATTCATGGTCGTAACCACGAAGTCCATTGAGCAGTAACTGCGCTGCAGCAAGAAACCCAACGTACCCACTGAATTCATGCGGGCGTGCATGATGCTGCCAACACGTCCGATGATAAGAACATTACATGACATTGAACTTCATTCAACTCTACTGTACATTCCATCAGCCAGCCGAAGAATGAGTAAAATTGGGCCAGTAGAGGCTGAGGTAGAGCAAGCAGGTCATCTCTGTAGCGATATCCGACGCCTGTCGTGTAGCACGCGCATGTGGAGACAAGCCCATGTCTGCGTGAACAGGGCTGGTCCCACCTCTGAGGGAATGACCAGCCGAAGAATGAGCGAAATTGGACCAGTATAGGCCGAGATAAAGCAGGCCATGTGTGTAGTGGTAGCGCGACGTGATGTCTACACCCGTACTTGTCTTGGGCCGTGGTTACATGGAGATAATGTTAGTAATTAGACGACTTTGTGTTTGACGAGGATGCTGTCGACGCCTGAAATCGGCAGGTAGGTAGGCGATGGCGTCGGTCGCAAGGAATTCCAAGCAGTCGTCGGTCCATGTTGTCGGACCGTCGTCACAGGGAAATGTGCTTCCAAGTGTACGACTTCCGAACAACCAAACGAGTGGTTGTCTGCGATGCTGAGTTGCAACAAGCCAATATGGGCTAGCGATTTGTCCGTGGAAGTCTCAGAACATCGGAGGGCCATTTCCAAAGTCGCCAATAACGTTATTGCGTGGTGACGGCGACAACATGCATCCACATATGCGGTGCCACGTACTAGTACATAGTACTTCATGTTGTCCTTGTTATTTTGGACGAACAGCCGGCGCATCCAACGAATATCTGCATGGGTTGGCCCGGCGACGCCTTCGTAAAGTGCCACTGGCGTGTCACCCGTGGTTTTTGTGCGACACTGCGCCAACGTTTGCACCTTCACTTCGTCCAGTTGAAGGGTAAAATCAAGTACGTCGGCTCCCGCCAGAGTAAGCATACTGTACCCCGCTCGTCAACATCCGATTTTCATCTGTTTGCCAAGTCGTTGAGACTCTACAGGGACCACGCTGGGACTGCAGGGAGGAGCCTTCGAGCGTGTCGGCTAGACGGACGGTATCGAGCCGACGTCGACAGCAACCGGCATGCGATAAAATCTCCAGGGAGTCCCTAAAGGTAGCCTGGTGGTAGCCGTCCCCCACGATCAAAGCCTTGTCGTGTCCTTCTATTTTCAGCTTGACACGAATTCCCTAGCGTGGCCATCTTGTATGCGACGCAGCGTGGATACTGCCCAGCCTGACATTGATGCTTCGAAAGCCCAGCACGACATTTGACGAGGAGGGATAGAAGTTGTCTCCCTCGTCGCATTTGAGACCCCGGGCGAGGAAAATGATGTACTCATGACGGACGGCCAAGTAACAGCAAAACCGCACGAGAGCGCCGACTTGCCGATGCCGGGGGGCCTTGAGGACCGTAGTGCTGGTTTGAATGGCTTTATCCGAAATAGTCGTGGTTCAACTTTAATTTGTTTGCAGACGAACAACGACGATGAAAAACCACCGAGGGCATCCGAAAGCAGTCGAGTGGACAAAACTGTGCCATCTCCAACATTGTTGAACACGGAGCCTGGGGGCATGATAAACGCTTCATCCACACAATCACAATCGCCATCCTTGGTTTCAAGGGACGTTCGACCGCAAGGTTTGCATTCTCAATAGATTCAATTTGAGCGCACAAGGGGACAAGGGGGGCTCAGTTTGTGTTCGCAACAAGTCTTTCAAATTCAAAGCAGCAGCTTCGAGGGCGGCTTGTACACCATGAGCGTCGACTTTATCGCTTCCAAGCTAGGGGGCTGCCTTGGGGTGTCGTCGTACCACGCCCACTTTGGAAACGAGTACCAGCGCCCACGCGGCCTTCGTGATCATATATTTGATCGCATCTGATTTTCTTGGGTAGGCGTACTTCATCCCATTGCGCAGGCGGCAAAACCACTAAAACGTGGATTTGTCCATACTTGTCATCGTGGGGGAAGTCGAAGGAGCAGCTTGTGTCCAATATTGAACAAGGGACCCATAGCATTCTTCCTGAGGAGTGATTTGACGACGTCGGTCATCTCGCGGCGTTGGCGTCGCAACTGACGTGCTGCAGCCACTTACCGTCCTGGGCCAAAAGAGTGCCAGGTCGTCCGCAAGTAGCGGTATCGTGTACTTGCTGGACGATCAACTCCAGCAGCCTTTCTCCCCGTTTGACTTCGTCGATCTCAACTGCAAAGCTGCTGCCGTCGTTCACAAAGAAGCAAGCACCATAGTGTCCCCATGTGGATTCGCATCTGTAATGTCACACACTCTGTAGCAGTTTACCGTGGTCGAGGCCACTACATACCCTGCCACTTCGTGTAAATGCTGATGGTACAGTAGTTTATATTCGGAAACATATCGCAAGGTCGCAGGCAGGAAAAACAGCAACAAATAAAGCAGCACATCAAGGGCGTACGTACTATTCACGTGTATTTCTTTGACCAATTCGCGCACCAGGGATGACTTGACTCGATCGCGTTTGTACGTTGGGGGCTGGAAATGGGGGGTGACGGTGGCTAAAAAGGTGAGAAAAATGTAAAAAGCACTCCCACTGCGGGGCTCGAACCCGCGACCACAGGATTAAAAGTCCTGCGCTCTACCAACTGAGCTAAACGGGAAGGATATTGTATACTCTATATAAGGGTTTAAATAACATATATATTACCAAACGTTTCTACTCGAACTCAATATAAATATGAGCAACGACGATCCGTACGCCGACCTGCCGAGCGCTATCGCTGCCCCCGCTCTCGCTACATCGTTCGTGGCGTCGCCCAAACGATCCCGTGAAGACGATGATGTTCCTTCCATCAAGAAGGTAGCAAGACGCGACATGCGTCACGTTGCGTTTCGTGACGACGTGGACGCCACGGTTGAAGAACCAGTCGACGAGGTCAAGCAGCCTCTCAAAGTCTTGGACATCCGTCAGACGATTGAGAAGCTCAAAGGATACATGGTACATGAGTCATTCTAGCTCTCTGAACTGACCCACTTGTAGCTTGTGGACAAGAAGTTTGGGAAAGCGTCGGCGCTGTTTAGCGCGCTTCTAGAAGAACAATGCACGTCGACCCCCCGACCGGACGAGCACACGATGTCGTTGCTCATGGAATGCGTTCAAACGATCATGAACAGCAAACCCGAACGCATCCATCACGCGAGCTTCCGCGCCGCCTATGCCGCGCTCGTCCGCGTCGTCGACAAGTCCGACCCGCATTGTTATTGTTTTCTCCATTCCTCCACTCCTTAACTACAATATGATGACCATGTAGACACCGAACATCCCTCCTACGCACATCCGATTTCGACAGCGACGTGATCGAGAACTGGGTATTGGACGCCGTCCTGCACAACGACTTGTTCACAGACGACACGTACGTGTTCGCCAAGGCCGCCAACCTCATCGCCGCGCACATCACGGGGCGGCGGGACGAAGCTGTGAGCATGGAGAACTTGGCGGATGTTGCGGCGTTAGATCGGGTGCTGCTGCCGTGTCTGCGTTCGTTGATGGCGCGACACGGCACCGCGTGGGCAAAGACGTCGGTGGAGATGGTGCTGGCGCTGTGTACGTATCGACGGCTGACGTTCCACGACGGCGATCGCAAAGAGGTGGACGAGTGGACGTCCACGATCCACCAGCGGAAAGTGGCGCCGTCCAGCCGGGGAAAGCACGCCGCCGCCGCCGCCGAAATGCGCAAGAACATCGTCGCGTACAACGACACTCAGACCGGCATCAAAGTCGGCAAGTCGAACCATCCGTTGTTTAACAAGGATTGAAACCATCGGTCTCTCAATGATGATGCACACATACTCACCCACCCACCGTCCTCGGAAGCGATACATTGGTCATGGATGGGCAGGATGCATCCAAGGGAAGCCTATGAGGGCTCCATGAGATCGCATGGATGATGGGATCGTGGAGGGGGTGCGCTCTCCCTCCTTCACCGATGATCACACACGTCGTCCACATCTCAGCTCCATCTACCACCATTCGTACTGCGAGGTCTCGTTGCATGCCGACAACGGTCGTCGCGCCGAGAAGTCACACACATCTTTTGATATGATAATGACGATAAAATAAATGGAGATCCAATATATTGGATGAATGTATGCATTTTAAAAAGTCGCCGTTTGAGAACAACATTTGTTGTGAAGATCGGAAGCGGATGTTCAATCGGTTGGCGGCATGGCTCGTGCCTTCCGCAGCACCTGACGACGAGCATGCGAAGAAGCGCTTCGACATACTGGTACATGAGAGTCACATGCGTCTGGGTGTTCCATGTGGACATTGCAGCATTATCATTATCGCCATCCTGCTGGTGCGTTCTGTAGGCGCAACTGAAGAAAGCTGTCATGGAGGTGTGCAACTGGTATGAAGAGAAGAACAAGCTCGAGTTCCAAGGCAAGCGTCCGCTGGAGGAGGAAGACATTGGCATGCACGACCTCTTGTGGTCCATCCAGGGCTGTCTACAGCATGGCCTCCGCGAAGACCTTACGGCGTCACCGTCGGCGTGGCTGCTCTTGCACTTTATCAAAACCACGTTGACCGAGCCCTCGAACCCCATCGGTCAAGCCATCGACGAAGCGTCCAAGGAATCTTCGACGGATGCGGGACGTATTCGGTACTGGATTCGCCACGCGCTCAACCAGTCGCTCGTCGAGCCCACGCTCGCTGTAGGAACACGCGTCTCTGTTCATGATGGGATGCCAAAACTTGTTTGTAGCTGGCACTCCTGGCATCCAACGAGCAGTTCCTGCGGGCCACGTACGACGACAACGCTCTCTTGCGATGCCAGGAAGGCACGACGATCATGACGCAACTGCTGTCGTACCTCAAGGAACTGGCGTTCAATGTGCACGTGTCGGACCGCGAGTTTTCCCGACGCCGGACCAGCCTCCCAACCTTGTCGGGGGGCCTCCTGCCGCCTCCAACTTCTGCTTCTCCTCTTCCCGAGTCCCGCGTCGACGTCGTGTTTGAACACATCGATTCGTTCGTGAACGACGTCGCAGCCCAAGGTGTGTTTCTGAGTCTGAGTCTGACTCTGATCGATCTTGTACGAACCAGCTGACGAGTTTCTGACCACCCGTGCCCGCTCGCTGTCGGACCGGGAAAAGGTTCGTATGCCGTGAGACTAGCTCCTCCTAACGGTGTCACAGGGCATCAAGCCATGGCAGCACGCGTTCAACGTGGAGCTGTCGTTCCTGGTCAAGAACCCGTATCACACACGCTATGCGTTCATTCATTCGCATTTGGCCGTGCCCAACTTCCTCGTCGAGTGCCTGGCGTTCTTGAAGATGCACGCGGCGACCCCGCGACTGTTTCGAACGACCGTGTCGCAGGTATCACGATATCTTACTACTAGTACTACTAGACCCCAAACACGGCCTACTACTGTCCTGTTTGAGAGTAATGGTGGTCTCGTTTTGGACTGGTGTTACTACTACTAGTAGTAGTACTACTACTACTACTATTACTAGTACTACTACTAGTAGTACGTCGTGACGTGTTGGGTACTATAATAGTTGAAAGCAAACGATATATTATATGGACTGGAATTATGTATTGGCCCGAGTAGGGTTAACTGTTATATATAATTGGGTTAACTGTTACTTCAAGTTGAACCATTCTAAAGTGTAGATTGCACTTGAACAATCATTCATTCTAAACTGTAGATATTGAACCATGAAATAAAAAGTGCTGATTGCACTTGAACCATTAACTGTTAACAATGAGATGCCACGTGTAGGTGTACGTGGCCCCCGTGAAGGACTACATTGAATCGCATGGCAAGATGCCGCCGTCGGGTGTGGATCCACATGTGGCGTCGGCGGTCCTCCTCGACTTCCTCCGTCATCTTCCCGAGCCCTTGGTCACTTCCGACAAGTTCGACGCTTTCGTTGCGTCTAGTCGCATGGCCAACGAAGCGGATGGCGTGCGCAACCTCACATGTCTCGTGGCCGACTTGCCCGTCGAGTACAAGGTTACGATGGAAGTGGTAAATATATATATATATATATATATATATATAAATCTATTGGAGTAGGTGTTTGGGGCGTTGGCAGAGGTGCTGAACCATGCTGAAGAGAATGGACTGACTATCGTGGGTCTGTCCATCGCCCTCGCACCGGCCATCGTACGCAAGCGAGACATGACCAAGATGCAGACGCAGGACGTCCGCATGGCGGCGATCGGCGCGCACGTGGTGGAACTGCTGCTTCTGCACCACACGTCCATCTTTCAAGAAGTGCGCGACCAAATTGCCAACGCCCACGAGGTCTGTGCTAAAAAGCCATGTATATATCACTCTCCACGATGATTTTCATATATATATATATATAGTTCACTCTACGAGGATATAAACATATATATGTTCCACCCTACGAATATATAAATATATATATGTTGACGCTACTAGTATAAACATATCCCATTATCCGTCATAGATGTATGTCGAAGTTTATTATATGTCCACCCATATGTATTGTCGATTTGATACAAATTTGGGGAGGGGGTGCAATCGAATCGCGCCAACCAAACTGATGCACAATCGATCTGATTGGTTCAATTTCATTGAGAAGGTTTTGATTGGCTAATAATTTTGAGCTCATCAGAGGTAGCCAATCAAATCGATTTAAATTCCAACGAGAAACCACGCCACAACACGTATTTCACTCGAAAGCACAATATATTTGTTGGTTTTATGCACGGACGGTGTCTGTCCGTCGGTGTGTACATTATATAAATATATATACTACGTCGTATAATACTTTATAACTTCTACATATATTCCGTGTCTGTGTGTGATTTCCGCAATGATAGTATGATAGTTACGATATTTTATACTACATTCGATTCCACGCGTCGTGGTATCGAAATATATAATATCTATCGGTCGGTGTGTTTGTTTTCCGCAATTATTCTATTCGGATACATATGATATATATATTCGATGTGGGGGGTATGTGATGGTTGATATAATGTAGGAGTTTCAACGCAAACAAGAGTTTCTCCAGACGTTTCCGGCCATGCTCAAGCAACCCGTAATGACGGATGACGCGGCGGCGCTGGGGCTGGTGCTGGCCGCGTACCAGCGCCAAGTGGACCACGTGGACCAGCAACTCCAGTCGAGTGCCAGCAACGATCACTCGACCCACGTCGTGTTTGTGGACGATGACGTGGCACTGTGGCAGAGCTTTGGCTTTCGCGAGTCGTCGATTGCAGCGAATTTCACGGCCGGGGGCCAGCTATTGCTCCAATGCGTGGCGTATTTCATCCGCACCGATGCCACGGCATGCCAGGTACACGCTAAAAATCGCTAAAAGTCGCTAAAAAGTCGCTAAAATGACTCGTGTACACGGTTTATATGGGTAGCTGTTGGCCGACCGCGTGCACGAGTACAACATGGGCGAAGCATTGGCGGCGCTGGCGCTGGTGCTGCTGAACGTGCTCAAGCTGGCGCCGACCCCCGACCAACCAGTGCTGGATTTTACCCTGCTGTCGATGGAGCCATTCTGGGACGTGTTTGGCGACCCGGTGTTCTTTACCAAGTTGTTCGCGTTGGCTGTGCGCGTGTTCGATTACAACTGGAGCATGAGCGGGCGCCCCGAGTTTGGGCGCATATTGGAGGAAACCGAGGCGCAGATGACGTGGCTGCTCCAGCGGTCGCCCAGCTCTGTGGAGGAGTTGGTGGACGACTGGCTTTTGTATCGCAAACAGCAGACACAGGCAACCGTCGACCAAACGTACATATCCAAATATATACATGTATTTATCATATTGTTTAAATATATAGTCCCAACGATGCTGTGAATATGGCGACCAAATTGATTGGCAAGTCGGGGATCTTGACCGATGCATTTGTCGCCGAGTTGGACTCGGTGCTGCCGATCACGTGTCAGTTGTGTCAGTGGAAGCTCCTGTTTAGGTATATATATATATTTGTATATATATGTATGTATATTATTAAATATAGCTGAATACATATCAATATTCGATGTATATATATATTATATCTGAATATATTTATATATATATTATATCTGAATATACATACATATATATACATATATATCATATCTGAATGTACATATATATACATATGTATTATATCTGAATATACATACATATATATTATATCTGAATATATATACATATGTATTATATCTGAATATACATACATATATATTATATCTGAATATATATATATATATATTATATCTGAATATATATATATATATTATATCTGAATATATATATATATATATATTATATCTAAAATGTCGGATGAACGAGAATACTAATTGTAAAGACCTCTTTCCATAATTAATATTTCGTAGCAACGAAGTGCATGGAAGCTCTCTCACGTCGTTGCTAACGTTGTGCAAAGGCCAGGTACGATTCGAGTGTTATATATTAATATTATTCGTTTTATCCGAATTTGGTGGATATTAATAAAATATTATTTGTGTTCTCTTAGAGCCCGACGTTGCTTTTGCTCAAGGAAGACCACGGCACTGTGTTTGGCGGGTTTGCGTCGGACATGTGGCAGTTGTCGGGCAACTACCACGGCAACGGGTCGAGCTTTCTGTTTCGGTTTACACCTCTGGGGAAACTGGATGCATTTACGTGGAGCCGCAAGAACAATTACTTTCAACTGTGCTCGGACGAGTCACTGGTTATGGGCGGCGGCAACGCGTTTGGCTTGTACTTGGTACAAACTATTGCCAACTATATATATATATATATATTTGTGGTTAAATATATATTTGTGTGGTCGTAGGATGCGGATTTGGTGCACGGGACGACGGGCAAGTGCGACACATTTGGGTCCAACCCGCTCGTGCCGGGCGAAACCTTCTCGTGTACGCACGTCGAAGTGTGGGGCTTTACGCTGGACGGGTGCTAATAGTATTAAACACAACTTTGCATATAGTAACTACATATATTGGCGTGAATTCTGGTCCAAAGAGGTGCGGGAGTATTAGGAAGTGTCACTTTACAGTATATATTCATATGATGGGCATCATCACCGTTGGCCAGTATAAAAAATCATTTAAAAAATACAAAAACGTAGTACTAAAAGTATCGATCGATGGATTTGGCAAATCCGCACAAAATGTCCAAATTTTGGCCGAAACGACAATATATATATATATATATGTACAAACTAGTACCAGTGATGGAAGTGAGTGTGGGTTTGTAAGACACATACACGTAGAAGTGGAGCATCGACACCAAGGTGACCAGTACAGGAGGTAGCGGTGGATGCGATGGCTATAGTTTGCTGCACCTTAAGCAGGGATAAAAGAGTTATTACTATTATATCATAATATTGGAGATTCGGTCCGAATTTCCGGACCCCGTACAATCGAATTTCGCCAACCGAACTCTCTCCCATTGGTCCATCTTAAACTCCTTGTCGCTGATTGGCTACAATCCCTATTCAATTTAAGTGGATGAAATGAGCTAATCAAATGTCTCGGGTCTATTTGTACGAACGATGGAAAATGGGCAACTTTGAAATCATCGCCAATATGATATTCCATGTCTACGACTAATAACAGTACAAATCCATCCCTCTCCACAATACAACAATGTACTGTACACCTAATAGGTGTACAGTACATTGTTGTATTGTTCTACTCGTCGTCGTCACGGTTCAAAATAGCCACGTTGTGGGCACCAAGTCGTTGGTCGTGGAGGCTGAGCGCTTGGTCGCCGTCATCCTTTTTATGGTCGAGCACTTTGGACGTAAGGAACGCTTGGCGTGCGAGTTGCTTGGCCACGTCTTCGGGCACGTCCGAGATGCCAAGGGACAAGAGGCCTCGGAACACCAGCACCACAGTTACAAACGCCACAAATAGCGCCAAGTCGACAAACTCGTGGTTGACATTTGTCCAGTTGAGGTACACACTCACGTCCGCCGCGTAGTTGCGCGTGTAAAAGATCACATAGGCATTCGTGATGATTGCGATCGTGACAAAGTGTTCGAGCACGGTGCTCCAGAGGCCAATGTGGGCGGCATGGCGGGGCCGCGGGCGGCGGCAGTCCTGCGTGAGGCGGTACCCGTCGATGCGAATCTCGAGCACATTGTTCACGAACGACAGCAACGGCGTGAGTGGGAACGACACGACAAAGAACGAAGAGTACCCAAACTGGAGCACCATTTCCAAAAAGTCGTCAAACGTGCCCTTCCACCCATAATGCGATTGAAAAAACTGCGTCTCCACCGAGCCCACGACCACGTCTGTGACGACGTGCTGGCGCCGCACAAACCACGCGTACAGCCGCGGGACAACCACTTCCTTGACGTTGCCAATGACGATTTGGGAGCCGTAGATGATGACGAGCGCGGCGCGGAGTTCGCCAAAGCAGTCGTTGTTGAGGCAGTGGCCTTCGATGGGGTTCTTGAGGCTCGCCACGTAGATCAAGGCTGCGTACGAGTTTACAAAGTGAAAGATGATGGCTTTTAGAATGTAGTTGGCTTCGTACGACGATTCCGTCGAGTGGTTCTCGTAGTCGTTCATTTTGAGGCTGAGGCCATCGTAGATCTTGTACATGACAAAGATCTGACCCAAGTTGACCACCGCCGCCACGTACGACCCGTACGGGTACGCATGCCCGTGGATCGTCACGACGAGCAGGTTCGGGTTCTGCGTCACGACGTAGTACCGCAGCAGGAAGATGAGCATCGTGAGGCCAATCACGACCGCCAACAGCGCGGCCAGCACGAGCCATGATACCACGCGCCGCTGGAGCCGGACCATCGGGTCGAAGAACTTGATGCTGGCCGACGTGACGGGGGACTTGGCAATGTGGCCGTGGAACTGGGGCCGCGGCTGCTCGTCCTCGACCACCGTCGCCGTGCCCCATGTGAGGGCGAGGCGCGCCGACTTGCGCTTCCACCCTTCGAGGAACAGCGTCGCCCACACGACCATGAACATGCCAAACGCGGGCACCGTGTACACCTGAACGACCTGGCCGACCTTGACCACGGTCGTCGCGTTGAGCTGGAGATGGCTCAGTGGGATGTCGGCGATGAGGTTGTTCTGGAACAACACCTCGGCCACAAACACGAGCAGTCCCACGACGCCCGCGGCACCCAACCACGTCGTGTAGTACCCCAAGTACGCAAAGTACATGGCGACTTTCGACCCAAAGTAGTTTTTGATGTGCGTAATCGGCTGCCGCCACGGCCAGTACGTCCACGCGACCCACCGCGCTTGGAGGTCAGCCAATTCGTCCACCTCGTGCAATGGAAAGCAGTCGTGCAACGCACCGTCAGCTTTGAGCTTGTCGATGTTCACATGCGCCACGTTCACGATGATGCTGTCGATCAACATCATTCGCTGCGTCGACGAAAAGTGACCGCCCAGCGTCGTGCGCTGGTACAAGTCTTGCACGTCGTCCGCTAGATCGTACTTCATGTGGATGTTCTCATACGGGTGGAACACGTCCCCTTGGAGCGTCTTCTCGTCGCCGATTTCGAATGGCTCTAAAAATTGGGCATTTTGTTAGCGACGAGTGATACATTCGTAGACGACGTACCGATGCCATGCGCGGGAAGACCACGCTTTGCTACGGCCCTAAGTTTCTCGGGGTCCATGAGCATGGGCAAGTTGATACGAGCTGCTTCCGCACGAAGTGCTTTCAGGTTGGCCCGAAGCTTGCAAATGATCAACGACGGCTTGCCGTCCGTTTGCGACGACGAGAAGAAGAGCTTCACTTCCAGCGCCGCCTGTCGCAGCTGGACAACAATGTCCCGCACGCGCCCTTCATCCTTATTCGGGAAGACCATCGCATACATCCATCGGTCTCCCCCATCCAGGTCCATGTGGACACTTGACGAGCTCGTCGATCCTTTCATGAACGCAGACCCTTGCATGTGCGCCTTCGTGGGCAAATTTCGGAATGATATGGTATCATCATGGCCTTTCTACTCCGTTTCTATTTCTTTTATTTATTAATTTACCGTGTAAATTAATGTGAAGATCCAAACATTTGCTCTATGAACATGTCATTATAACCTTCTAAATCCGATAACCTTCTATAATACGAAGAACATTCGTTTGAACTTTTTGGAATAAATTCGGAGGTGGCATGTTTGTTGTCAGAAATTAGAATATCCGGATAAGTTTGAGATATTCCGGAGAATCCAACATCAACAACAACGTATAACGTTAGCCAAAAACTAGCATCATCGCAGGTTTAAAGCTGTGCCGACTGGATTCCGTCGACACCAGACACTACAATACCATCCACGGCGGTAACGTCTGTGTGAACCACATCATCTACCACCGGGTCAAATCGCTGGAAGAGGCCGAGTAAATGGCGGTTCTCGTCCTTGTCCATGAGGCTTTGGATGATTGGCTTGGCTGCGTCGTACTCTTTGGACTGTTGAAACTTGGTCGTGAACGAATCCAGTAGGATGTGCGCCGTGCCGCGGACGTCGTCGTTGTGGACATCATGGAACAACACGACTTGGAAATGTTCGTTTTCCACAGACAGCATTTGCAACTTGTGCGGATGCAGGCTCTGACTGGTTGCTGCATAAGGTGGGGAATGCACAATGGGCGACGACTGCGGGGATACAGAATGGAACGAGCTCATAGAAGGCGGACTTGACGTGTTGATCGACAACGCAGCCGCGGCGGGAGTGGTGCCGTAGTTCGAACCAGAGTTCGACGTTCGAGACTGAAGCAAGTTCTGTCGCAGTGACGTGGAGTATCGCCGTGCTGCCGCCGACGTCGCAGCTTTGCTGGAGGCGGCTGATCCAGCCAAGGGCATGGACAGCGTCTGCCCAAAGTGAACTGTCTGCACTGGTCCACCATCAATTTCTCGGGCGAATTGGGCGAAGCTGTGCACGAGGGCTCGCAATCCTTCGACTCTTGCGCCTTCGTTCCAATGCCATTGCTTGCTGTACAGACACACCGACGTGGACACATCCAAGATCTGCAGATACCAAATCTTGGGCGGCATGCTGAATAATCACAATCAAACCGCAGAACCGGATAAGAAATCCGGATCGAAGTAATATTATTCACACTAAAAATAATTTCATTAATGCGAGCTGATGCCAATGGACAAGTACTGTAGTAAAAGGTTTAAAAACCTACTACTGTTTACAACAGTAACGTTAATTAACGTAATACTAATCAGGCAATAAATACTGAGCGCTCATCTGACCAATCATAAATAAGTTGATTTAATATTGAACCAATCAGGGAGTTTTAATCCCTTTTCCATAATTCGAGGATTTTCAAATTGCAGCAGGTCCTCGTAGTTGTCGCCGTTCCCTCCCATATGGTAGGTGGTACGCGACGCTCGTGTCATGATTGGCTAGTCGATTCGATTTGAAATTCGACAGCCAAGGCATTGCCGCCACCAGCCGACTCGCGACGAACTAATGGGACCTCGACTTCGCGGAAACTCGTCAGCAGCATCCGTCGCGACGCCGTCAGGTGCGCAGCAGCCGCCACGCACCCTGGCTAAGCGCGTGTTCAAAGCGCTGAGGAAACAGGTGCCTTGTGTTGCGTCGGACTTTGTCCTGCCATTCCGCCACCAAGCGCCGCTGGCCACATACTTCCACGACTTGGCCAATGCCACCGCCGGTATCTCCGATTACACGTTGGACTTTACGCCCGACGAGTTCACTGCGGCTGAGGTAGCTCGTATTCGTTGGTGTTGAGGCTAACAATCTTGCCAACACGACACGTAGGCCGTGGAACTGACGTGGGTGCCACCAAAGTACGCGAAAACTTCCAAGAACGTGTACATTGTCAAGAAAGCGCCCATGGCCCAAGCATCTGCGAGCAGTCGATGCACGTGCTACGGCCAAGACCACCAGCGAGGCAGCTCGTCGCGACCGACAGCGTCAACGTCATCCGTTGCAGTGAAACATAAAGACGTGTCGTATTGCACTGACACATGCCACAACAAGTACGACACCATATACGCATGCATACAGTATACGAATAGACCCAGTCGTCTTATGACGACCCAGGCTGGTCTTGATCGAATGTGGCAAGGACACGTGCTCGGCACCTGACCCAACCAAGTGCCGCAACCGCCCGTTCCAACACAAAGCCACCAAGTACGACCGTGACCTGAGACATTCACGTGATAGATACTGTCTTTATTTTACCCAAAATTTGGCCGATTTTTGTGTTAATTCTTTGCCAAATCTATCGATCGATTCTTTGTCCTGAATTTTGTATGTAAAAAGGTGTCCTGTGGTGATGGGTATCACACTAATTCAAGTCATACACTAATTCGACGTTGATGATGGGGTGTGTTGATTGGCTAAATCCTTCTGCCGATGATTCTTCTGTCCAGGTCCACACGGGTCGAGTACATGGGACCCAAGGGCTTTGGGCTCGTGGCGGATACATCCATCGAAGCCGGCGACTTTGTAGTGGAATACGTCGGCGAAGTCATCGACGAGGCCATGGCCGCTGACCGCCGCGCCGCGAATATCGCGTCGGGACAAGTAACTCTGAAACCCTCTGAAAATGGATACAAGTCTCATATACAACACCACTAGACCCACACGTACATGCTCGAGATGGAAAAAGATATTTTGATCGACGCCCAGTACAAGGGCAACGTGAGTCGCTTTATCAACCACAGCTGCGCGCCCAACTGCAGCGCTCAAAAATGGTAGTACCCGTCACCCTATTCTAGTAGTCATGTGATGAATATGGAATGCAGGACGTGCGAAGGCGACATCCTCCGCATCGGCATTGTCGCCCTCGCGCCCATTGCTCGCGGCGAAGAAATCACATTCGATTACCAGGTAAGTAGTAGTACTAGTAGTAGTAGGATTGTGCGTGCAGCCAATATATATATGGACTTTTGATTGTGCTGATCTCGTGGTACCAACTCGATCGATGGATGGTTTCTGGTGACATTTACGTAGTTGTGGAATGGTTGAAGCGAGAATTTGATTGGCTACTTGATTCGTGGTCTGTGTTTTGATTGGTCGATCGATTGTCTGCCGATTTGGATCATCCAATGTCGAATCGATTTTGACAATATATTATAATAATACCTATCGTAATCTGCTCAGTGAAATAATATGTACCCATGGTGGAGTGTCTAGTTTACCCACGTGGGGGCGCAAAGCGTCGCGTGTCATTGTGGGGCTGCCACGTGTAAAGGCCAAATGGGTTTCAAGAAGAGAGACTCGGTCAAGGCCGACGATGTACGTGGTTCTAATGATGATGATGGTCTAATTCCATGGATGAGTTAGAAACCTGGCGACGGGGACCAGCCGTGGCCGCGACCGATCAAAGTGTCGTCGCTCGCGTTGTTCAAAAGCGCTCATGTACGACATTGCTTGCTTGCTTTATACTGTCCACGTTGAATGGAGTGTCCAATTTGAATGGTGATGGGTGACAGATGTTGTAGTATACTTATATTGTCTTTCTTTTACCCAAAATTTGGCCGACTTTTGTGCTGATTCGCCAAATTTATATTGTGGATTCGATACGAATCGTCGAATCGAATCTTGCCGCCGAATCGACGCTATTGGCTAATCCAATTTTGAGTGAATTTGATTGGCTCTTGCAGAAAGGACAAGTATATTCAACCAATCAGAGAGACTCCAGCGTGGTTCAATTTTGATTCGACAAACCACGCGAATTTTGGAAGTTTATAACGAATTCACAATATCGATCGATCAGATCATGATGGTTGTTTCCTGCAATCTGATTGGCTAAATCTTTCTGCCGATGATTCTTCTGTCGATTTAGTATTTGGTTGTGTCGATTCATTCATTCTAGCTTGGAATAACACAACCATATCTAGTTGAACCGAGACTGGATCGACGAGTTTGGGTATGCCAGGAAGCGCCTCTTCCTCAGCCATGCCGTGCCAGATGACGTCGACATCGACACGTACTTCCTCTCGACCCGCCCCACTAAGCGCCAGACCACACCGTCCAACTGGTACCACCGCGTCCTCACGCACCCGCCAGTGCCTTGCACGTCGTTCCTCGCTGGCGGTTTGCTCGATTACTCGACGTTGTTGCTCCGTGAATCGGTCACGACCAAGACCATGCCATGCTCCAAGCCACGACCGCGCCGCAAGTCGCTGCTCGAGTCGCGGTACCAGCTGATTAAAGGTACTCGCTAGTTTCGACAATACGAGCATGTACGTGTTTGATGATGATGGTTGGTGTAGACGTGCACGAGTTTGCCGAAGGGCGATCGGTGTGGAACCGCCGCCTTCGTGTTACCCAGAACCAGTTGGACGTCGGTCGGATCTACCGATTCGTCGAAAACATTGAAAACGGCGTGCACCACCAACATGGCGAAACGGTAGGTATTCGTCAAATTTTTGCGTTTTTTTTGCGTTTTTTTTTAAAGAAGAATGTTGGTGCAACGAGACTAAGAATGTTGGTGTAGAACGACTTGAACGAAGATGCGTGCCATCGGTGCGGCACGGCCGGCGAATTGATATGCTGCGACGGATGTCCTGCCGCGTTTCATTTGTCGTACGTGTGACAATACCGGATGCACTTTGTCCATGGTGAGGATGATGGTGACGTAGATGTGCGGGTCTCCACCGCTTGCCGCCCCCTACCGTGGACTGGTATTGTCAGACTTGCAAACGGTCGAAAAGCGTCGTGAGTGCATCCCAACGAACGGCGCAGGCGAACGCGATCTTCCAAGTGGGTCCTGCCCCCGAGACGAAGCGATGGCTCAAACGCAAGGTCGGTCGACCCAAGAAGCTCGTGGTGCCCTCGAGGGAACCTGTCAACACGTCCACGGCCTCCCCAGACAGAGTAGACATGGCATAGAGAAAAGGGATGTATAGATTTAAATGTCGTCGACTTTCACTGGACCTTCGCACTTGTCGGCTAAGAAAGCCTCGCTGCTCGCTTTGGCATTCTACACATCGACAGTGCGTCGTCAAAATGACAAGTATTTCATGGATTGTATCGTCGTGGTAGCGTAGTGTACCTTGATCGCTGTCGCTAACAACGCGTGGTCTCCAGTCTGTTTGGGCTCCGGCAGCGCCCCACCGTCTTCCTTGCCTCCATATGCATGAGGAACCGTCTCGCTCTCGGATGCGTTGTACATGTCCTCAGGTACCTCGGGGTGCACGGAGAACGCATGCACTTCTTCGCCGCGGAAGCGGATGGACATGGACACGCCAACTTTCGCCGCCATGTTTAGTGGACGCGCGATGTTTTTTCAGTGCACCAAAGACAATTGGATGCCGGATAATATATCCGGATACGTATTTTTAAAAACTTTTTATCCGGATGCTTGGAATTGCGCGCCAACTCACTTTCAATTTTCGCTGCAGCAAGCAAGCCAGGGCAACCGCCGCAACACCGTGATGGGACGTAAGCTGGAAGATGTCCTTCACACTGGGGACGCACTGTCTACTGGGAGAAGCCGGACACTGCCCATGGACTCGTACACAGGCACGACATCGTCGGCTTCCCGGACGTAGACTTTCGTGGCCAAGAATGCTTGCCGTTTCAACTGAATCGCAACATCGTGCGGAACGTCCTTGATCCAAGTTGTGACTCCGTAGCGAACGACGAGCATCGCAGTGACGAAGCCCCCAAATGCACGAAGTTGCACCAGCCTCGCTCCTGGGTCGTTTGTGTTGACCACGAGCGCATTCGACGCGTACACGACGACAAATCTACGGTTTTCAGGCTCATGAACTTTTTTAAACACAAGTGAGTCGTACCCGTTGGTGAGTGTCGACAATGTAACGAGGTATTCCAGCACGGTGGTCCATTGCCCACAAGTGGACGCTTGGCGTGGCAACGGGCGGCGGTGATTCATCACTAGATTGGTCGAGTCCGAGCGTAATTCGATCAAGTTGTTCAGGAGCGTGAGCAACGACATGGCCGGAGACGCGCCAAGGAAGAGGATCGTAAACCCGAATTTCATGGCCAAGCCCAAGTACTCGTTGAACGTCACGCGCCAGCTGTAGTCGAGCAGGTAAAACTGCGCTTCCACCTTCGACGACACCGCGGCGGACGTCCCACGGGCGCGACATTGGCTGTACAGCACTCGTACATGGGGAACCACCCAGTCATGGACCAATCCATTTGCCAGTTGGAAGCAGAAGATCATGAGCAGGTACAGTCGTAATTCCCCCATGCAATCATTTCCAGCACACGCGGCCCCTACGTACGTCTTGACAAACGTGATGTAAAACAGCCCGGCAAAGTTGTTGACCGCGTGAAAGAGCACCGATTTGACAATGAACGACCCTAGAAGTGCAACAACAACAGCGATTCAAAACAAGGTGTCGTCGCAGGGATTCCTACCTTCATGAGATGACTGCGTGCGGTGGTTTTCATATTCGTTCATCGCTTCGCAGAGTTGGTTGTACACGTAGTACATGGCGTGGATCTGCACAATGTTGGCCAAGGAAGTGACCGGCCCAGCCAACACGACTTCGGTTGGCCCCACGCGAATCGAGTACCCGCGCTCCAGCATGACAAATTGCAAGTAGAAAATCGCCGTCACCACCGCCGCCACCAACGCAATCAAACACGTGAGCAGCAGCCACGTGAGACATCGTCGACGGCTCTTTTCTCGTTTGCTAAAGTACAGCATGGGCTGTCCTGTGACTGGACTCGGCAGCATTTGCCCCACATACTGCGGACGAACTTGCTCTAGCGTGCTGAAGTTGGACGTTCCCCACTCTAAGGCCAACCGTGCAGCTCTCCGTTTCCATGACTTGAGAAAGATCGTCGCCCAAATAATCACCAGTGTGCTCGTGATAGCCACCACAATGTCCTTAGGGAGGCGGTCGGACAACTCTACGAGCCACAGCACCAGCCCCACGGCGCCCGCCCCGATGAGCCATGTTGTATAATAGCCAAGGAACGCAAAGTACAAGCCAATCCGTGAGCCAAAGTACCGTTGGATGGCATGCAGAGGTTGTTGCCATGGATACTGACCCCACTGCAGCCACGATGTTGTCACCCTCGAAAGCTCTGCCACGTCGTGCAGTGAAAAGTAGGTCGTCACGACGTTCGAGTGCTTCAACTTGTCAAGGTTCAGCCCCGCGCCGCCATGTCGATTGGTCATGATGCTCTCGAGAAGGAGAATGCGCTGGCTGCTTGTAAAGAGGGCGTCGTGGGGGCCTTGCTTGGCGTACAACGGTTGCATGTCATCGCGACACGTGTATCGAAAGTAGATCGAGTCGTACGGAGACAGCTTGAACTGGTGCAACGGGTCGTCGATGGGGAATGGTGCGATTCCACAGTTTGGAAACCCTCGATGCGACGCGTCACGCAGTTTGTCCTTGTCCATGGGCATGAGGAGGTCGATGCGATCGGCTTCTCGCGCAAGAATCTGCCGAGACCCGCGCACCAAGCAAAAGAGATGGCGGCTACTGGACGACGCGGACGGACACGCGAGCTTGAGGGTCAACCCGGCCTTCTTGAGGCGGTAGTAGATCTCGTCCACCGTGGGCGTCGTGGTCTTGGCCTTCTTCGTTGGCAAATGCAGTCGGTGAAACACTTCGCCAAGTGGGGACATTGGAAGCGCAGGAAACACCAGGACGTAGTCCCACGCGTATCCGTCTTGGCAGAGCAGCAACTGATCGTCCTCGTCCACGATATTCGCGTCTTGAGAGATCGCCGGCGTATACAGCGGCGGCGGACCTGGCGATTCCATTGCCCCAAGATCTCGACGAGATGATGATGTCGTTTGAACCGCGGTATGTCGTACATATGCACCCAATCAGGGATCACCAATCGACCAATCAAAAATCGAACGGTGAGTTGTTTGCAATATCTGAAACTGCCAGTCACGGGCAAGTTGATGTTGTTGACACAGTACTACTATTAACATTAATAGTATTAATACTGGATACTACTATTAATAGTAACGTTAGCATACATTAATATTACAGGACTACTAGTATTATTAATATTGAGTCGAAATCGAAACAAACCTGCGAAAGACTCCAAAGTTCGCGATCGAGTCGTCAGTGTTTGATTGTAATTTTCGATTGGTAGGTAGTACTGCATATAAACCACAGGAAACGGCTTCTCGGATGGGCCCACAAGATTAACCATGAATAGAAGAAGTCCATCTTTCACAGCAATATCAGCATGCGGTGGGTCTCGTTGAATCGCACTACATCGCCAACCTTAATCATCGCAAGAGTCGGCATGTCGGTACTTTTTCTCGATGTGAGTCCTCTACTACCGGTAGATTTGTACAAGTAACATCTCGACATGGAACTGTTCGAATCGACATCCATTTCCCCGGGGACAATATACTAGTTTATACATTGGGGTTTTGGGAAAGTTCCAAGGGCAAGTTTTTGATTGCGACGACAAAGAAAAATATGTTGATGACAGACTTACCGGTATAAACTGGCAGTCACGGGCTTGGCTTAATCGGTTTCGACCGGTGTCTTTCAATAATGTACAGTAGTACATGTTGTTCCACTTACTATTGTACGCTGCGAGCTACAGTACAGTACAGCTCTACCCTTAGCACCTAACTTGTATTCGTGCGTTTCTCGCATTCTAATCGCTCAATGGCTTCAGTGTACCAGATCATCAAGGCCATGGCCAATGATCAAACTACAAAATTCGTACTAGAATCAATGCAAACGTAATTACAGATATTCGCTAGTTTCGATTGTGCATTTCCTAGACAAATCACTCGGCCGGTGCTAGTCGTTCGGTGCTCTCCAAACTACCAAGGCACTTCTGACCCGTCGACAAGGATTGCACATCCTTGGAAGTCAACTCGACGGAATACCCCGACTGTCCGTCGCCCGATGTCATTGTCACTCGAACCCCAACTGGGGGGGCGCCCTTCTCTGGGGCAATTGCAAGCCCCAACGCCACCCCACCCCCAAAACTGCACAGCAGCGACACGCCAGCCAACATGTATAGACTTAGCCGTCTGCGGCTTCTTGGCCCCTTGTCACATTTTAGAGAGCCCCCCGGTAGTTGGACCTGGCCAGTCGTTGCGAGTGGCATCCGCTTCGTCGCAGCTTGGACTCGCCATTGCAGCACATATTCATTGCACAGTGCGTCCACGCCCGAGCGTAGTTGTTGCAGGCGGTCGGCTACGACAGATCGCATGGGGGTCATCTCAAACACCACTTCTGTGCGTGGTGTGGTCAACTGAAGCTGCAAGTTGCACTTTGCCTTGTCGCTGGGTAAGAGGTCCACAGTGCACTCGGGGGAAGCGAGGGTGGTGCCAGCAGTCGCCAGAGCTTTCTAAGAACGCTCGATGGATGGATATCGTCGCGCAGCTCATTGTACCTGCAGAGACGGTATAATCGTGTGCGAGACATCGTTGGTGGTCTTCCAGACTTGGCACTCCCTATGGGGATAGTTGAGTCCGAATTTGTTGATGACTAGCTAGAGATCAAGAAACCAACCATTGCTTCTTCGAGGCTGTGTTGCGGATAACGATTGCCATGGACTTGGGCTCGTCCAAAGACAACTCCACACGAAAAGGGTCTTCTTGCGCCGGGAACGCGACGTTGTCGAACATTTTGGTGCTGCAATCGCCCAAAATATTACTTTTAAACGGCCTCAAGTCGCAGCACCAATCAAAGGACCGCCAATACCTCGTCGCATACTCCGACATGACGATCAACTACTTTTCTTCGACACAAAATTGTCAAGGTCCTTCTGTCACCGCCGCTGGCTAGTCCACTCCTTGCTCTGTGTCAATATGTTGGCAAACACTTTATCGCACATGAACCGCCACAATACGGGGTCCATGCCCGCGGAGGGGTTCGCCGAGGTAGATGGTGTTATCACCGCTCCGACCATGGCAATCACCATGCTCAATGTACGCGTGTTGCCGCCCCCGCCAGCTTATTTTCGAGGTCGTTTAGGTTCATTTTACCCCCCACGGTGCCGCCCGCTGAGAAGTCGGGACGCCCTTGATGGCGGCAAACAACGCAAGGTCGATCAGCGTGTCTAACTGTCGTGTACGTCTTCCCCGCCCCGTTGAGCACTTGCCCTTGGCCAATCCCAGCGGCAAGTCGGACAGCGCGATTTTGTTTGGCCACCCATTCTTGTTGGCCTTGTTGTACACCTTGCGCAACTAGGACTTAGTAATGACGTCCCTCAGGCGGTATCCCCGCGCGCAATGCGGCCGCCTTCCGCTTGGACACCTTCGTCGATCGAAAATACTGCCGTGTCGTCTCCAGGCGGGTTCGCGGCTGAATTTATCGCGAAGGCCGGGCAAGCTCGGGGTGTAGTCAAGTACCCAGCGCCAACATCGGAAACACGATTCTTTCCAATGCCAGATACAGCACGTCCGTACCCACGATAGCCATGTCCAGCGCTTGGGTCGAGGGGTCAATGATCGTCATGCCGATGTGGATGGCAGTTGAGCATATTGCCGAGGCCGAACAGCGGCAAGAGGCGCCAGATGTACTTGGGCAGTTTGTTGATATCGACCGTGCCCGCCAGCGTGTGTGAAATCGTGGAAATCGGCGCAAGACCACCCCGAGCAAGAGATTGAGATCATCACGATAGTCGTCTAGTAGCTGATGGCTACGGAACAAGTACGATCGCAAAAGTATCAGAATGAAATGACCGCCGCCCCCGCGAGTAGAAACAGCACCACGACCCCCCCGTACGGGTTCGTCGTGCCTGACATTGCAGCGTCAAGGCCACTCGCGTCCCATCGGCGGCGGGGGCTGCAGGTACGCCGACAGCCAGAGCTGGAAGCTCCGACTGTTGTGCACAGCTTGGAGAAAGCCGTGAGCGCCGCCACGTCGCACGCCGCCTGTAACTTTCACGAGCGAGAAAGTGTAGCTGGTGCCGTACCGGTTCTTGAGGAAGAGCGAGGACCTGCAGGAGTCCTCCTTCGGCCATGATGGCGATGTGGTCGCCGAGGGTGTCTGCATCGTCCATGAAATGCGTCGTGAGCATAATGATGCGGTTCTGGAGGTGGTTCATGTTCGTCTCCCACGTACTTCGCCGACTGTACGGGTCCATTCTGGATGTCAGCTCGTCCTGAAACACAAGGGAGGTATCCCCCAACAGCGCAATTGCCAGTCACAATTTGCGCTTCATTCCTCCGAGAGGGCGCTGAACACGACGGGCCTTTTTTCGCTGAGCCCCACCTTGGCGATCTTGGTGTCGACATGCGTATCCAGCCCCCCGGAAGCCATTGATTTGGCTGTAAAAGGTTAAATATTGGGTCACCGTCACGTCCCCATACAGGATGTCGTGCTGCGAGCACACCCCACCGAGTGGCGGATCTCTTCAAGTCCGTGCTGAGGCGGCGGCCGTTCACGAACGCATCCCCACTGTCGCAAGAATCATCCTCGTGAGCATCGACATGAGCGGCGTCTTGCCAGCATCGTTGTGGCCCAAGAAACACGTGATTTGGACACCGTGAACCGCGACCTTGCCACTGAAACACACCTTGCGCAGGTTTCGGATCTGCTGCCCTTCCCCCGGCGTCTCTTGCTGCCGTAGCGTTTCGCCCATGGGTTCGATGTTGTTCGATGTGCGTTGCGGCATCGAGGGGGATACTATATCCGACGAGGTTTCCGGAACCCCTTGGGGGAGTTGTTCCTGGAAACAGACACCTTACCAGAATGAATTGCGTACCGGAAATTTCCACGGCAGCGTCACGCCAGACGCTTTGGGCACCACGCCCATTGACAAGGTCGTTCATGTTGGCCCCCGTGAGCCCCAGGTCAGAGGACTCGGCGATGACAGGTCCAACCGGAGAAATCATAGGTACTGAAGCGGGGGGTATACGGTAGCGACTGGATGCCGAATGTCGTGGTAACTGGGGACTCACACGTCTTGGCCTCGATGGTTCTGTCTTGCTTGAACGCGGTCGAGATCAAGTACATGGCGAAGAACGAGATGATGCCGACGTACGGGCGTTTGAATGATGGCGCTGGCCATGCATCCAAAGGTTTTTAATCCAAAGAGGACAAACAACAACACAAACAACAGTCCGGGGTTGGAGTGGGGGAACAGAATGCAGACGGCGGCGGCCGGGCTCACGGCAAACACGACTCTTCAATGGTACCGCCGCCTTAAAAAAAGTACTCGCTGGTGAAGGCGGTGTCGGGGACGATGGCGATCTACGTAGTGGGGGGTGACGAAGGGGCGGTAGGCAACCGGTCACGCGCGGGGGGACGACACTTAGGCGCTGATCAGACCCGCCGATTCAGCCACGCGACACTCAGCGGCGACGTTGAAAGGGAACCATGCTAGATTGAAGGCAAAGTGGCGGAGGGTCGGCTCGGGCGCATACAGTAGGACGGCCCAGTAGGATCGCGTTCAAACATGACCAGGTGTACATACTATAGTATTTTCAACGATGCAATGCTGCTCGATATATTTCCGACATTGTACAGTCCACATACAGCAGATAAATACATTTGTTGGTTCAAACTTACTATTCCTACACCATCGTAAACGCCATGCTTTGGATGTTCACCAACGCAAACAACCCTTCTGCTAACAAGGCCCTCGAGGGGTAAATGGGCAGGTCGATGCGGTTAAAGCACGAGTGGACCTTGGGGAATATGCCATACTCGTAGGGCACCCCATGTAGCGAAAATGGGCACAGCCGGCCATCGTAGCTCGTGAGGCCCTTGAACCCCTGGATGGGTACGCGGGACGACCCAGTGGTGAACTGGAGCAGCTTGGCCCGGTCAGAGGGCGTCATGTCAAACTCGACAACGTCCCAGAACCACCCGACGACGTCCTCGAGCGACTTGGACACGATCGTGGACCGCTTCCAGTCACCCACGTCGATCTCTGAAAACCCACACAAAATCAGCTCCAGCTCCTTGTAGTCGAACGGCATGAGCAGCTCCTGGGGCAACACGTCGTACAGACCCTGCACCAGCCGCTGCAGCTGCGGCGCCACGCGCTCAAACATCAAGTACTGCACCATCCTCTCCACGTACTCGGCCTTGTTGGCGTTGGTCACCCCCACGTCCCGACCCCCGACCACCAGCTCCACTTCCGGTACATCCGTGTCCACACTCACACTGAACGTCAGCGCCAAATCGTCCACGTCATCGCAGTCGCGAATGTAGGTCAAGCTCGAATATACGGTCGGGTCCAAGTACCGAATGTCTTGGATAGAGACGGGGTACCCCAGCAGCATCTTGAACAGCGGGACACAAAAGTGAAACGGCAGCACTTGCTCGTCGATGATGGCTCGTCCGAGGAGCCGTCCAATGGCCAAATATCTCTCCAAGTGGTTGGGGCCGTGGACTCTTTCCGAGTTGGGATTAATAAAGAACGACTGGTCGTCCTGGTTGGTCACTATAAACAGCCCTTGACTTGGCTCCAATATGGCCAACGCCAGCACCGAGTACCACTCGCGCGTGACGCCGCCCGCGTCCACAGCGGTTTCGTGCTCGAGGGTGATCACGCTGAGCGTACATAGATTCCTCAGCGGCGTTTTGGCCAATCCGGTGAGAGATTGCTCTAGAATGGTGTCGCGAGACACGACCAATCGCGCGTGGCCGTCGTAGTTGGCAGCAAGTTGCTCCAGAAGCCACGCGTACTTGAGCGAGAACGATAGCCGAGTGAGCTGGTCCAGTTGCCCAAACCACCAAGGGGTTAACGGCTGGCCGAGTAGGGTGACCCCCGCAGTCGCGTCTTGCAATGCCATTAAGGCCAAGTCCACTTGAGGATTTGGTCGGCCGACAACTTGCCACGACGACTGAGCAGCCGCTTCCTGGTCAGAGGCATGCCAGCTCCATACACGCCCGTCGAAACCACGCCGCCACTGCTTGCGAAGCCTACCAAGAGCCACCCAATGGGTCTTGACAGGGAAGACTAGACTGGAATGTGTTACCTCGCAGCTCGTTGTTTGTCGGTGAAATTACTCGGCAACAATGTGCGATCAAGTTGCTCAAAGGCTGGAGATACCACCAAATAGAGCTCTATACAAACAGGTGAACATATACACGGTAAAGACGATGGCAGCATTTGCATGTACGTACCCCGAGCAGTGTCACATAAAACACAGGCGGGAGACGAGTCGGCGTTGTAGAAATCACAAATGTTGCAAGTCCACTTTTGTGCCTCTGAATCCCTACACACATCGTCCATGCCAGTACATTAGAGGCACGATTAAGCTACACAGGAGGACTTACGTGTTTTCCAGTTGATCGCGCGTGAGTCCAGCGAGATGGCCCACAAATCTACGAGGTTCAAGCTTCAGTTGCTATCGTGAAAGCCATGTTCCCGTACTCGTTCGAAAGCAACGCGTCGTCCGCTTCATCCCGCAGCCAGCTGTACCTGAAATAGCACAGCACGATCAAGAAGGCTACGGCGAATCCGACGGAGAAGCTGACGCCAGCCACGGGGTCTTCCATCCAATGACCAATGTGTCCAATATCGTTTGTTGCCCGTGGCGACACTTTATGGGCACGGTAACGCATTTTGTATCCGGATAATCCAACAAAACCTCTGAAACTTGATACTGCCCTTGCAATTTTTCGCACCGTACAGTAAGTTTGGAAAATTCACAGGTGTCACGTGTCATCACACCTGGACCATCCATACCAGTATCTTGAGCAAGCAAACTTAACGTTACAGTTAGTTAATGGAAGAAGGGTCTAGAGCATTGACTAACTGGAGACTGCGGGAAATGATCACCTTTTCGATCTTCAAAGGATAACGTTATGGCTGTACAGTTCATTGTACATCATCACCATACAACACGCTAGCATCAAATCGTGTGTAGCCTGAGAAAGAAATCCGCTGCTTTCTTTCTCAGGCTACATACGATTTGATTAACTACTTTTAATAGCCATTATGAAGGATTGACACCTTCTTCACTGTCAATCTATTGCGCTGAGTTGCTGGACGGCACACAAAACGGTTGCATAACTTTTAAAAATACAATATTTAAAAGCTATTATTAAAGTTATATAATACTCGAGGAGAACCTCGAAGTACAGATAAAACAACGCTAAACCCAAGTTCTGCAGCAGCAGAATAATACAACCCTTACTTTATTTCAGCTGCTAACTAATCGAGTTGAGCACCAGGCCAACTTTCGCCGTACAACCACCAGTTCATCACGATGCATACCGTATTAGGATGTGAAATGTGAGTACTATACATCGTGTAGTCGTAGTGCGCCGTTGCCTTCCATGTACAGTGCTAAGCTTAGAGCAGATCAAGAGTTGTAGGTATTGCATAGCTTTGAATCATCGTCGATCAACGCAAGAACATGGTAACTTAGGGTGTTCAACAGCATCGATGCTACGTAATGAAGTGTCATAGGCTGTGTTATGGTGCTTGTTGCAGGATATAATCACACCTTAAGTAAGCTATATCTCAATTTTTGGCATTTTAGAGGTCTCTTCACACATGCTAAATACTTCGAAGTAAGCAATAAGTGCAATCGCCGCACATCATATCTTGTTACAGTTTAGCCCGCACCCGCGCCTTCAGGTTTTTAATATTAGTACATGTATTACGCCGAGAGATACCGTTGCTGAGCAATTCAACGACAAAGTACGACATAGTCATACTTTCTGGATAGTCAACGTTTCTCATAATTTATGACAAACTTTTACTAACGTTAGTATGTTATTTCGACGAAATCTTTTTAATTGAGATATATTTATATTATGTTATCAAAATATGTAACGGTATTCTCGTGGATTGTAGTGGGTACTTTTCCTATAGGCATCGTAACTGGCGGCCAACCACGTTGTACGTATTCTGTAAGGATGGCTACGTTCGTCATTTCCCGCAGCCTCCTGCAAGGTGCACATACTGTATGATATCGACGAATGGTTCACACCGTAGTACCAATCGCCAAGTACTAGGACCGATAACAGATTACGCATAGATCAGCAAAGAAGTTCTTTCATGTCAAACGTAAAGTTCTTACAAAAGTTAATAAGTTACGCCATCGTAAACGCCATACATTGGATGTTCACCAGCACAAACAACCCTTCTGCTAACAAGGCCCTCGAGGGGTAAATGGGCAGGTCGATGCGGTTAAAGCACGAGTGGACCTTGGGGAATATGCCATACTCGTAGGGCACCCCATGTAGCGAAAATGGGCACAGCCGGCCATCGTAGCTCGTGAGGCCCTTGAACCCCTGGATGGGTACGCGGGACGACCCAGTGGTGAACTGGAGCAGCTTGGCCCGGTCAGAGGGCGTCATGTCAAACTCGACAACGTCCCAGAACCACCCGACGACGTCCTCGAGCGACTTGGACACGATCGTGGACCGCTTCCAGTCACCCACGTCGATCTCTGAAAACCCACACAAAATCAGCTCCAGCTCCTTGTAGTCGAACGGCATGAGCAGCTCCTGGGGCAACACGTCGTACAGACCCTGCACCAGCCGCTGCAGCTGCGGCGCCACGCGCTCAAACATCAAGTACTGCACCATCCTCTCCACGTACTCGGCCTTGTTGGCGTTGGTCACCCCCACGTCCCGACCCCCGACCACCAGCTCCACTTCCGGTACATCCGTGTCCACACTCACACTGAACGTCAGCGCCAAATCGTCCACGTCATCGCAGTCGCGAATGTAGGTCAAGCTCGAATATACGGTCGGGTCCAAGTACCGAATGTCTTGGATAGAGACGGGGTACCCCAGCAGCATCTTGAACAGCGGGACACAAAAGTGAAACGGCAGCACTTGCTCGTCGATGATGGCTTTCCCCAGGAGCCGTCCCACAGCTTGGTACTGGTCCAAATGAGTTGGATCGATTGATTTGGGATTGACAAAGAACGATTGGTCGGGGTGGCTGGTCACTACAAACAGCCCCCTGGACTCGTCCACGATGGCCATGGTCAGTAACGTATACCACTCCCTAGTGACCCCCCCCGCATCCACAGCACTCTCCCCCACCAACGAGATGATTGTCAGTAAACACAACTGGTCCACATGTGCCGTGTTGAGTGCGTGCATGGACTGATCGAAGATCGTCGCTCGAGTCAGCGTTAGCTTGGCGTGGGCAGCGTGGTACTCGACAGCCAAGTACGACAGCAGCCACGCATATTTGAGCGAAAACGGCAGCGCTTGGAGCTCCAAGAGGGGACGACTCCACCAGCTAGGCAAGGCATGGCCCAGCACTGTTTGGCCTGCCGTAGCCGCTGCCAGCTCAACTAGATATGGGACATCGCCTTCCGATGCAGCTGATAGCACCATGTACTCACAAGGGTCGGCCAAAGGGAAGCACTGCCACGTCCATGTTGAGCCATGGCATCGCCGTGTCCACTGGCTACGATACCTATAAACTCATATACGTACTCGACTTGAGTAATGTGCCCAGTGTTTTACATTGCAGCTGTACGAGATAGTTCGAGTGTAATGGGGCATCTAACGTTACTGTACATTGCACTGAGTTGGTGGTCGTTGAGTTGATCGATGGGAAGCGTGCCAGCCATGGCTCCAAATTCAGGCGACACGAGTAAAAACGTTGCTGCAAACGTGTGTGAGCAATTCCTCAAAGATCTCCCGTCCACAGCACACCACGTTTAGTACTACTAACCTCGACTGGTATCGCAGAGTACGCACGAACGTTTATCGACCGGGTTGTGAAACGCGCAGATGCCACACGTCCACTTCTTGGCTTCCAATTTCCTGCGACAAAGTATGTGTACAGGACATATCGAAACAAGATAGGAGTATGTACGGCGTACGTACGTGTCCTCGAGCTTGTCGCGAGTAAGACCTGCCAACTGGCCCACTTCCCTACATGTTACACTTCTGTCAACCAAATCATCAAAGCATGGACGGACTCGTTGGGAAGCAGTGGGTCGTCGTCGTCGTCGACACGGGGTTTGGAGCACACGAGCCGCATGCAACAGAACGGCAGCAGCCCCAGCACAAAGAACGCGACCACAAAGCCCAACGGCACATTCGCTTCATTCGAGAGGAAGTTGCCATCACCTGCCATGACCTTGATAACTTACTACAGTAATGGTGGTTCAAAGATGTGTTGGAGACAATTCTGCCATGGTGATGATGCCAACAACACACTTTTGTTGCGTGTTTTTGGCCGTGATGAAGGGAAACTATTATGACCTATAACACGCTCAATACATATATACAACAGTTATAACGTTTTATTGTTTTCATATTATTGTGAATTCGCTATAAACTTCCAAAGTTCGCCCCTGGATTGTCTAATTAACATTGAATCACGCCGGAGTTTTGATTGGTTGAATATATATGTGTTATTTCTGCAAGAGCCAATCAAATCCACTCAAAAATTGAATTAGCCAATAGCGTCGATTCGATTTGACGGAGCCTGGAAATTCGTATCGAATCCACAATATATACCAAGTACTGTAGTAGTAATTTGATACTACTAGTATTAGTACCTGGCTGCAGTAACTACGAGTACTATCTATTATTAATAGTACTATCGGTAGTAAGCTCCACCGCAGTCAATTGAAAATCTTGAGGCAAAGTGCTGTGCGCCTACACTCACCTTACTGTACCGTTGAGCGAATACAGTAGTTACTACTGTACGGTAGTAGCAATACTGTACTACTAGTACATACTACGTAGTACAGTACAAGTGCGATAACATCATCAGTGACATGACTAGTATATTCATGGTCAATACAGTATAGAATATTACTATAAGTATATATTTAACGTTAGTATATTTATGACCAATCACAACTTCAGCTTGAACCTCAACCATCAAAAGTATCCAAAATCACAATACTGGTACTGTATTAATAGTACAAGCGCACTGTTTTCCAAGTTACAGCAATGTGAACACCAAGTCTTCAATCGAAACGAGAAAGAACAGTGCACTTCGAAGCTCTTCTCGCGTGGGGTAAATCGGCAGGTCCATGCGGTTATAACACGAGTGGACCTTGGGCAACTCCTGCGGATGGTACTTGACGCCATGTAGTGAAAACGGGCACAGCTGGCCGTCGTGACTGGTCAACCCACGGAAGCCTTGGAGGGGTACGCGGGACGACCCAGTGGTGAACTGGAGCAGCTTGGCCCGGTCAGAGGGCGTCATGTCAAACTCGACAACGTCCCAGAACCACCCGACGACGTCCTCGAGCGACTTGGACACGATCGTGGACCGCTTCCAGTCACCCACGTCGATCTCTGAAAACCCACACAAAATCAGCTCCAGCTCCTTGTAGTCGAACGGCATGAGCAGCTCCTGGGGCAACACGTCGTACAGACCCTGCACCAGCCGCTGCAGCTGCGGCGCCACGCGCTCAAACATCAAGTACTGCACCATTCTCTCCACGTACTCGGCCTTGTTGGCGTTGGTCACCCCCACGTCCCGACCCCCGACCACCAGCTCCACTTCCGGTACATCCGTGTCCACACTCACACTGAACGTCAGCGCCAAATCGTCCACGTCATCGCAGTCGCGAATGTAGGTCAAGCTCGAATACACGGTCGGGTCCAAGTACCGAACGTCTTCGATCGAGACGGGGTACCCCAGCAACATCTTGAACAGCGGGACACAAAAGTGAAACGGCAGCATTTGCTCGTCGATGATGGCTTTCCCCAGGAGCCTTCCCACCGCTTGAAAGTCTGCCAAGTGGTTGGGGCCGTGGTCTCTTTCCGAGTTGGGATTGATAAAGAACGACTGGTCGTCCTTGTTGGAGACCATAAACAGCCCATTACTTGTGTCCAAAATGGCGTTCGAGAGCAACGTGTACCACTCTCGTGCAACGCCCCCTGCATCAAGTGCAACTTCGCCCCTCAGCGCGATGCTCGTAAACGAACACAGCTGG